ATGTCTTAGGGTACGTCTATAGGGCTTAGGGATCCGTAGGGCTGTTAGGTTCTTACATATCAGCCTCTCATACATTTAGTTACCTAGTGCAGCTTGCGTACATACACTACATACTATATCTTATATATAAAATTCTCGTGTCACAATGTTAGTTACGATACTCCTCCGAAACAACTTGACCGATTTATATCAAATTGTATATGCATATTCAGTAGGTCTGAGAATCCGCTAATATCTATTTTTCATACCCCTAAATGATAAGGGTTGTCCATCCCCATTTTTTTCTTTTTGGACAATTTTTTTTGTTTTTATTTTTTTATAATACAGAATACAAAAATACATACAACCCCTAATCTTTACCCCTCTACAATGTTTTATTATAGTAGATAGTTATTTTTATTGAACTAAAAAAATATTTCCTAGAAATAATATACATGGCGAAACGTTTGCTGGGTCAGCTAGTATTATATAACACATTAGATATAAATTGAACTGTGAAATGAGGGTTTACCCCATTTCACAGTCCATTTTTTTTGGAGTAGCAAATAGCTATATTAGCGATAGATATGTTAATTTGCAGCAGCAGCATTGGTCTGGAGGCTCTTGCGTGTGACTCTCAAACCTTAGGTCATGTTGGAATCCCAGCTGTGTGCCAAAAGACTTATTTCCGTGAGCGCATTTAGCAATCATTTTTAAACAATTAATTGCGAGGTAGCCGTAATGACTTAAAATGGTGTGTCAGGCAAATAAGGCTGATCACCTGCTTTTCTATTAAGAAATAAAATCTTTAGAAACAGGTACGGTATACCGAGGCCAATACCAATAATACAGTTTTTAGTAGGATCATCAAATTGATAGAGGAATGGGCTGGACTAACTTTGCTCTGATCTTTGTTGAACGTATAAAATCTCTACTAAATAAAGCTAAGTACTCGATGGCTCATAATGAACGTTTTCGAGTACCGCTATTCGCCATCATATCGTATTTAATAGCAGGATTATATTCGCTCCTAAATAAGATATATATAAGATGATGTTAATTTTAATTGGATTTCTGTCTCTGAGAACACGTAACAAGTGAAGAAAATTAAAATATCAATAATATTCGTTAAATTAAGTCTTCCACGGTCCGCTTAATAAGACACTTTCTTTTGCTAACTAGTGTCTCCAATTATAGGCCATCCAATACTCCATCAATTAAAGGCCGGCAATAAACCCACTAAAATGGGTGCCCATGGGCTAATCACTGCCATTTTTGGGCGTCCCGTAGGCTCGTTTTCAGCCTCCCCCTTTATACTATAAATATAAAACGGAAAATAACTAAATAATTAAAGATTTAAGTTGGCGCCTAGTAGATAGTACCGGTGACCCCAGAGCTGGTGCTTTCCTCGCTCAACAAATAAGTATCGCAATACAGAGAGGAAATGCTGCCAGCGTTAAAGGTACACCGCCACAGGGACCAAACCTTTTAAATTTGTATTGATTCTTTTTAATAATTTTTATTATTACTTTGTAGGTTAAGAAAACTGTAAATACTGTATACTTCATTGTAAATATGAAATATGTTTAATAAGCTGGAAAAAAACAAATGAGAAATATTGGTAAATATAAAGTATAGCAACCATAGGTTACCTATCTCGCTTGTTAGAACGAATTATGTTGGCATATAATTGCATTGCAACAGCACTTCATTTATATATTAATACTGGTTTCTAACATACTAATGTTTGATTGATAAGCGTACTTTGACATAATTGTAGTCATAAAAACTTTATTTAGTTATAAAGAATTGCCTTTAAAATGTTACTAAATTAATATTCATTTTACATTTTCACGGGATTTGTAGACAAGCAAAATCTAGATTTCAAGGGCAAGAATTTCGAATTAGATTTTTGGACGAAACAATTGCGAATTGTTTGACGACAATTTCGATCTGCAGACGGAAATTTTTCGAGAAAACTAAATAAATATTTTACAATAAGTACTATAGCGAATTTTGAAAAATAAAAAAAATATGAAATTGACTGTGATATATTGATCGTAGAAGTGTAAAAATTAAGGGTTGTATATATTTTTGTATACTTTTGTCTAAAAATAAAAATAAAAATTTTGGCGTGAATGTTAGGAACATTTAGGGGGATGAGAAATAAATGTTATCCAAATCGCAGACCTAACCGAACACAAAAATTTTACGAAAATCAGTCGAGCCATTTCGGAGTATAGTTACTGACACCGTGACACGAGAATTTTATACATTAGATTTTAATGGCTGTGATTAAACCTATAACTAACCTTTAGTTTGGTTAAAAGATACTTTATTTCTCAAAGAATTATACTAATTAAAATAATATAAATGTAAAGTAGGTTCGTTGTGTACTTCGTGTTATCAAATTATTAGCTGCCTATATACTCGTAAAATAAAAATATTAGTTTGTCTTTAAATTTTAATATATAAACCGCGGGTATAATTGAGTATTAGTTCATTTACATATCCATTGACACAATATTCTTAGTAATTTCATCCATATTGAATTTCCAGTAAACATTTATTTTGCCAATCAACCCACCCGCAGTATGAGCGTCAAAGATTGAATAAATATTTAAATTTGTGACGGGAATCAAATAATACACTTTGTGAACGACAAAATGTACAATTTATTTTTTGGCATTGTTAGTAGAAAGTGAATGAAACAGATAAATTCGTTTTAGTAAACCTCTTTACATTGATTTATTTGATTATTATAGGGCAGTTATAAGTTATCCTAGTCATTATGATGTTTGGGTTTAATGTCCCATCTTAAGGGCGTGGTGGTTCGCTTCACTCCTAAATACCACAGAGCTCTGAGTGTAGGTCCAGTCTTACAGCCTTTGAAAGGCCGGCAACGCATTAGCGAGCCCTCTGGCATTGAGTGTCCATGGGCAGAGTTATCACTTAACAACAGATGAGCCTCCTACCCGTTTAAACAGTTTTATAAAAAAAAAACATTCCCCGTGTCAACTTCGTGGCGCCTGTGACTTGATAAATGTTTGGTCATTATCTCATCCAGGCAAGAGAGCAAAAAGAAATAAAGAAAAAGTTACCGTCGTATAAAATTATTGACAAAAGATAAATGAATTTGCTCAATCAAGCACAGTGTTAGGTAGAAGGATATGAGACTGACAATAATTTCGATGAGAAAGATTTAAATGATAGATGAAAATTTAGAGAAAGAAATCTTGTGGGATTTTCTATCCATGCAAATCAATTCGAAACTATATCATTTGTTAATTAAAATAAAAGAGGTGATTATTACACTACTTCCGCCTTTTGTGCTTTTTTGTGTCTATGGAATATAAAATGCCCGCCAAACAGAAATAATATTCAAACCCATAATGCATAGTTCTGAAATATCGATAACAAAAATCCTTTTATTCTCGATTGTAATATTACCAATTTGATAGTTACGTATAAAACTATAATTATTTTATTTTAAATAATGAAATTGATTTAAAAATAGGACGATAATTGAATTTAAATTTGTATAGTATATTTCATTACAAGTGCGGAAAGCCTGTCATTGCAAAGAGTTTCGACAAATGTCTACCCGAGCCGAGGCGCAGCCGAAGGTGAGGGTTGACAGTCGGAACAAGTTGCAATGACGGTTCCGCACGTGTACTGAACAACTATTTTTAATACAGTTGCGAAAAAATTATGCAATTAAATAAAACAATAAAAACACAATAAACTCAAATAACTAATCATTTATTTCTTATACAAATTATTGTTCACATATACATTGGTACAGTTTTTTATACTAACTGGAGAAGTTTTAGGTTGCATATTTATTTACTGTTTGAGACAAACTATTATTAATTTCGTAAGATTGTTCATGTATATTTAATATATAATATAACAAACAACTAAACGCGCAAAGAACATTTATGGAAAATGGCGCCAACCGTAAAAGAATATAAGCAGATATTTTTTTTCTTCACCCATTCTGGGTAGGCAAAGGGAACTATGCCCATACAGCCAAGTCTTCAGTACAATTTTTTATTGATATGAAATGAAATCTAACCTAACTCATTGAATCAAATCATTAAATCTGATATTGAAACAAAGCAGTAGCTTCTTTTTAGAAATATTTGCATGAATCATAAAAATTTTCAATGATTTTTTGTTAGTAAAAACTTCGTGGTTGGTTTTTTCTTTTTAATAGACATTATTTTGACAGTTGGGAAAGAAAACGCACTAGTTCGGAAAAGGTAAAAAAAAAGCACGAGTGTGTAATAGCCCACATCCCGAACGCTATACGTCCCTGCAATACGCCACTTTTTGAGCAACTGTATTAAAAAAGTATTTACAGTGGCTCATAGTGGATGTTGGTTTGAGATCACAAAATACTGCCTGGATTACCGACTTCGTTTCGCTTTAGTATGTTTTTTTATACTAACATATCGAATATTTTGCTATGCTAACCCACACTTCGATTTTTCCGGGATAAAAACTAAAAGTACTAGGAAACTAGGTAAGTAAAGTACTAGGAAAAAATATTTTTTTCATTATATTGTTACAATTTTTCTCTATAAAATTCTTCCTCGGAGTACAAGGAATGAATTTAAAAAAAAATATTCAAATTGGTCCAGCCAGTGAGTTTAGCACATATCAACATATTTTGGAACTTATGTTTATGTAGATTAAACCTGTGAATAATCAAAAGACCTGTTAAAATAATAAAATATTTATGACGCAAGAAACGAATCCAGGCTAAACCAGGGTTACTTAGAAACAAAATCATTGAAATAGTTTACGCAAATTTTGATTTTTTAAAAATAATATTTCATTTATATTGTAAAATTAGTAAAACCGCCACAATTTATTAATATCAGCAAGATTATCACGTAATAATTATAGCGATAGTAATTAACTGGAGCTGACACAATAATGAATTGAGGTTATTGTAGTATATTTAGGTGCATAAACAAAAATTGCATTTTCAACTTAACTATAAGTGAACTCACCTACAACTCGCATATATGCGCTTTTGTACACGGTATGAAAAAACGGTGCGTCTGCGGAGACCTCGCATCGGTACCGCCCACTGAGTCCTCTTGTGGCCCCTCGTAGCACAACCTGCTGGGCTCCTGATCTTGATATCTATAACACATACTGAAAGTTTAACAACTCAGGTACCGTATTATTTATGTTATATTAACTTCATCAATTCCTACCTACACTTGCTGTATGCCCATGTTCTTAATTCAAATTCAAATCAAACAGAATCGCACGGCTGAACTTTTTGATTAAATAGTTTGATTTGGCGTAACATTTTGTTAAATACATCGTGGTACCTGCAGGCACCCTATGTTGGATTCCTTGTTCTAGTTCAAATAGCTATGTTACGTTAGTAAGGAAACGTTTGTGCTAAAGGTGCTTCACTTAAATATTGATAGGCATATTAATTCCATTATTTACGTACGAAATCATGTTAAGAACTAGCACTTAACCGTGCGCAGCTGGAGTCGAAATTGAGCTAAAAGCCTCGATCCATCTTACGGAGGGAACTGAATCATACATTCTACAGTCACCGGTTGACCCGATTTCAAGATTCTATAGAATCTTTTGACTTTCAACGTTGAATCATCATATTTAACGGGTTTGAAATGTAACACCCGGCATGGGATTGATTTAAATGCAAGTAGGTGACCACCTTTCTGTACCAAGTTGTTTTATAATCCATTAAACCAATAGACCATTTAGATAAGACAATTTTCGTATCAAGTATTTTGTAAGTGTCTACGTTGATACAGAAAAATTCAAGGTGTGTAATCGTTAAACATGTTATGGATAACAATCATAAATTAGTCATCCATTAGAGGTAGACTTCAAATTCAATTCTTTCACACACCCTTACACATATTTACACACACACAACTACTCATGCTTTAATTTTATTTTGTTTATTACTTTAGTGTAGTCATAGTATGTCTTTGTATATTTTGTGTATGCCATGGAAGGCTGATGACCTGTGACAGGACTTAAATAGTCCTATTAAAGACTTCAGCCTCTCACAAAGATGGTCAATACCTGTAGCATGTAAACGTTAAACGCAATATTGCGAAGAGGCAAATACACTTTATTATATGATATTTTTATTATTATTTATTCTTGTTATTTATTGGACAATTCACACCAATTGACCCAGTCCCATGCTAAACTGGTGAAGCTTGTGTTATGGGTACTAGGCAACGGATATACATACATATTATAGATAGATAGACATATAAATACATATTTAAACACCCAAGACCTAAGCACAACACCAAATGCTAATCACATCGATGTTTGTCTCAGCCGGGGATCGAACCCGGGACCCATGGATTCGCAGTCACTAAACCAATGGGTACTAACCACTAGACCAATGAGCCGTCAAATGATGATATTTTAAATCTTATATTCACATAATTATACAATATAATATTCTTCTGAGTACTTTATTTGCTGCTTATCGATTTGAGCCTGAGATCTTGTGGCAAAATTTCAGCTGTTAACCAGTGAATACATCTTTAAACATCGTGAGGAAATCAGTATTGATAACGTTTACAAACGGCTGATTGCCTATTATTCAAAATTATTAGGACAAACAGTTGACAAAGGTTTTAGCGTTTAGTTTAAGCTGTATGGATGTGATATTGTTGAACTTTATTTGAGTATGATGATTTTTTTATTTTATTCTATCCAAGAAATTTCGTGTAGGTTTGTTTACGAATTTCTCGGAACCTAAAAGTTATATTGAGATATAAATTAGGTCTTTTCCTTAAGATATTCCTTAAGTAACTTCTAAATTAGTGGCGCTAGAACATTTTTAAATCTGGGCCTCAGATTTCTGTATCTGTTTCATGATCATCATGTAATAGGCAAATCGATCAGCCTTCTGCCTGACACACGCCATCGCCTTTTTGGGTCTAAGGCAAGCCGGTTTCCTCACGATGTTTTCGTTCACCGTTCGAGTGAATGTTAAATGCGCACACAGAAAGAAAGTCTATTGGTGCCGGGGATCGGACCTACGAACTAAGAAGTGAGATTTTTACTATGACAACATTGTTCTATAGTTTAAAGACGGTTTAATTTTATTAATAAAAATAATGGATGGAAAAGGTTTATAGACACCACGTGATTGTTTCAAAGCAGTTGTATTTTAATGTATTATTTTGGCACAATATTTAGCGATGCCTGGCATTGTGCCAACAGTTATAACCATAACGGTAGCGTGCCTGATGTTTCGCAGATTCTTAAGTGATTTCTTCGTACAGTATAGTAGATATAATATTAACCTACATATATTTATGCTGGCTATTCACAGATAACATTATACAGAATTATTGCTGAAGGATTCAGCATTATTACTGAAATAAAAATGATATATCCCATATCGGTCTGTTAGGCATTCGGATCAAAAAATATTTCACTAACAAAATATAACACTTCTTCGGTCTAGAGGATCTTAGCGACTCGAGAGACAGAGTATTCAAACCTAAGTTAGGGCTATCTTATTGAGTAATATATTTAAAGAATACAAGCAAAAGTGCATTGCATTTAAGCTATTTAACAATCAGGTTGGTTGCCCGAACCTTAAATCATAATTTAAATTTCGTGAACCCTCTAGATACCCCAGGTATCCCATGATTCCCTTTGTCCCTTTTTGGTCAAAGCTCACCGATATCCATACTGAGCAATCTGATAACGAGCTAGGTCTGGATATCCATTGTTGCTTTAAAATCGATTTCTGTTTAGTTTTTTGTAATTTTAATTGTTTTGTTTTGTTTAATATTTGTATTTAAAGAAAAAACTGTTTGACCGGATTGAAGTTATGTATTATTATAAATTTACAACTATTTAACATAATTTTAAATTTATCCGACGTTTCGCGTGCTTTACAGCGTGCGTGGTAATAATACATAACTTCAATCCGGTCAAACAGTTTTTTCTTTAAATGTGTAAAGGTTATGTAAATCAAAGACAATACTAATATTTGTATGATCCCTTCATGTATGTCATGCTTGCCACATTAAAAATTGTATTTTGTGGTTCCGATGTATTAGTGTGCCGAGCGTTTTTCCTACAATAAGTTTACAAAAGAGAGTGCGACTTTATATGAAAGTTTTTATATATTACAATCTACTCTATATACAATAATTATGGCTAATTAGTAATATTATGTTGACTTAATTTTCTACAATACTAGTGAAGAGCTTAAACTAAGGTAATGTTCATTAACAGTCTTAGTATTCTATAATATGTGTGACACCGCACTTGCACTATTCACTACACTAGGTTTATTAACTCAAAAGGTTTAGTTCTCTTTAGGCCTCTTATTTCTGTTGTGTTGATTGCCTCAGCATTCACATGGCAATGTAGCCTGTTCAAATGAGCTAAGGCAAACCGTTTCGCCGTATTTAAATACTATACATAATTGACTTATTTTACTATGTGATATTATTTCCAATTACAATTTAAGAATGCTTTAAAATGGTTATATTAATTAAATGTGTTCTAGTGTTTTATTAAATCGGTTCATACAATAACAATAATAATTAGAATAGTACTGGTGGTAATTAACAGAAAAATATACTCACATCAACACTGATTCCCGTTTGTGAAAAGACCCTGGTATTTGGAAGCTCTTTAGGCACAAAGCGAAAGAACTCTTGCGCACCATGGTACCATTTGACTGTGTATAGAGCTTCCCCCGTGTCAAGTGCCCAACGACATCCTAGGATGGCACTGGAACCCACGCCCACTGCTTCTGGGACACTGAGTTGTATATCTCTCAACCCAAGCACACCTGTGGAAAAAAAATTAATGGATGGTTTGATACGTTTTTCTCTTTAGCAATCGTGATCAACAAGTGTGATATGTTGACAGATAACAATTTGATATTAAATTAGAGATTAGAGATTAAGTAAAGCTATAAAACAACCGCCGTGGTTTAGTGGTTAACGCATATATCGTTAGTAACAATGTTTTGATTCCGGGGAAACAATAATAGTTTTATAGTAGGCCTTAAATTATATAATTAATGTCCTATGCCCGTCAGAGGGAAACTGTTCAAATTACAAATACAATACAATATAAGTAAAAATCCTCGCAGAGTTGCAGATTTTAAAATGGCTTCAATACTCGAAGGAGGAGGTTTTTTAAATCGACATGTATTTTTTTTAATAGTAAATGTATGTTACTTGAAAATGATTAGCAGGTAAAATCACTTTAAACTCAAAAAGTTGAATTTATAAATGGAAGGCTTTGATGGGAAATACAACGTCATGGTATTTAAATAAAAGCGTACTCCTCGCTCAGAGGCCGGCAATGCTTTCACTAACATGGTCACACTAACATGGCTACGGTAGTTGGTTTTATGGCTGATCATTAGGGTCGTTTGCCCCCTATTTTATAAAAAAAACAAGGCCCTGATGTGATTCATACTAAATAATTAAATACTTAATGAATGGCTTCATTGATTTACACTTTTAGCAGGTACCTAAAAGCAAACTTCGCACTTTTGGATGGTATATAGATACGATGAAGTCGACAGTGACTTCGTTTTGGAACTTTTACGTGCCAATTTTCGTGTGATTCCTTTTATTGCGTGACTGAACTAACAGATATAAAACCATAAAAACACTGTCTGCGATCTTTTCATCAGGATAATAAATGAGTTTTATTGTAAAATCACATTTTGTAACTAACTTTGTTTTTTTTGTTTTTTTAAAACAGGGGCTAAACGGGCTGTGCATGAGGCTCATCTGATGTTAAGTGGTACCGCCGCCCATAGACACTCACATTGCCGCAAGTGCGTTGCCGGTGTTTTAAGAATTGGTACACTCTTTTCTTGAAGGACCGTAAGTCAAATTGGTACAGAAATACTTCAGTGGACACCTCGTTCCATATAGTGGTAGTGCGCGGCAAAAACTGCCTTAAAAAGCCCTCAGCCTTGCGATTCTGTAACTCACTTTTCGAACTCTCACAGCGGTTTTCGCGCTCAAATCAGTCGAGAATCAGTCATTTTACGATTTGGCATTCTGATAAACAATAAACTATAAGCTCCCTCCACTTGTCAAGACGTAATGTGAAATTGCTTAACAGGATACCATGAGATTCCAAAAATGACGTGAGTGACGAAGGGAGCGTTGTTAACGCGAGGTGAACTCACGGATTAACAGAATCGCACGGCAGTTGTGGAACGACGGACGTCGAGGTGATACGGGTGGAATTTCGTATTCTGCCTCGACGTCCTATGATAAAACTTAGTTAATAGATAACTCAGATAAAACTCACTTATTAACAAAATTGAAGTCAAATCAAAGTCAGTTGATTTTCATTTCTTAATATAAATTGCGCGGAGTATGTCAATTGTCAACATTATTAATACCAGTGCGTAAGCTTAAATTAAACTTTAAACATACATTTTTATCAAACCCTCTTTATCTTGATCGGTTCGTCATGAACGCCGAGGCTCTAAATCCAATCTATCAGTCTTTATTACTACGAGTCATAGATTTTTGTATAGAAATCGCATTTCTATACATAAATCTACGGTTCGTAGCAATTTTAATTGGTATTTTCAATATGGAAACCCTGTCATCTTACAAACACACGTAATAACTTTTTGTTCATTAAACATCGACCGTTAATTCTGTATTAATTTATACACGCTTAATTGCGCAAAAATCCTAATTATTTTTAAAGTCTACATTATCCTAAGTCGAATTTGATCTTCAAATTTGCAGTTGACGTAAGTAATCAAATCTTAGTCTGAAGTCGTAGTAAAGGTGGTCGGAATACATAAATCAAGTGAGTACGTGATCGAATTGAAGATCAACCCAATACAGGAGTCCCAACGAGAACTCATTACATTGTAACCTAATTCAATTTACTGTTGCCGACAGCATATTACATTTAATATTGAAATTACACTTATATTCTGGTAGAATACACTCGTAATTCTCGCTCATGATTATTATTTATTCACGAGTACCCACTCAGTATATTTTTTAGACTTTATTATGAATATTCGTGGTCACAATTTGAGGGCCAAACTGAACATTTGTTAGAGGACGTAATTTTATTTATGGGACATGTAGAGGGGGTCAATACAAGCTTAAACCCATATTTGTGGGGTTGGCAACCTTGTCCCCTGGCCGCCATCTTGGAAAAAGGGGTGAAATCACGTGTTTGGCTATATCTCCTACACTGTCCATCGTACAAACAATTTGTTAAGACATATTTCATAGCAAATCGCTTTGCCTATTATTATAAATTTATGTCTCTGTTACTTTTTATCATAAATCCAAAATTGCGTCCACTAACAAATGTTCAGCACATGTAACATTTCAATGCACTAAAGATATAATATATAATATAAGATATAAAGAATAACATAAGATAATAATGTGTCAAAAAGTTCGGCTTATGATAAGGATGCAGTTCATCCTTATGCATGACTTTTAATTTTTAGTTTGTCTAATAAGAAGTCAAAGTTTAGGTGGCTCACCTGATGTTAAGTGATACCCGCCGCCCATGGACACTCACATTGCCAGAAAGCTGCACATTTGCCGGCTTTTTAAGAATTGGTACGCTCTTTTCTTGAAGGACCCTAAGTCGAATTGGTTCGGAAATACTTCAATGAGCCGCTGGTACCACATAGTAGTGGTGCGCTTCTGTGCCTTTAAAAGCTACTTCTAAATGTTTTCCCAATGTAATTGAACGTTGAACATACGAACCCAAGGCCATTCGTTGCGTATGCATAAATTTAGTATTATAACGAAATTGTACTAACTTAAAATCGACAATTACGCGTGACCATAAAAACTAAATAACATATAATTCTCCTAATGTTACAAACTTTTTCGTTCAATTTGTTTGCGACCTGACCCTTTCGCAATAAATCCCACCCGAAAATAGTTTTATGTCCCCAAGCTTCCGTTTCATACGAACCGCCGTCGTAATCTGGTTACTTAATTTCCAAACACATTTCTCTTAGCTGGCCATAAATGTCAGGAGGCTAATAAATCACTGAAGTTTCGCATTTTGATTGTCTAGTGACCAGAGAACAAGTGTTTTGGTGAAGCTAAGAGTTGGTACTGGCCCATTAATTTCTTGGTTGAATAGTAAAGAAAATAGCGGGATAACATGGCTGTATATAAACGTTGGTACGTTAAGAATATAACACAAGTTACCAACAAATATATTTAATGTTACTAAAAAATACTTAAGAAATAATATAAAAAATTCTGGTATCTTTTATTAATGATGGCTTCGTTATTCTTCTTTTTAATTAAATATATATAATAACTAGCTGCCCCCGCGAGCTTCTTTTCGAGATATGTGATTTTATCTAGCCTACCTATTTAGTACATACCAACATGGAACATTTTGCTATGCTACCCAAGAGACTGTTCGGTTTTCTGGAATGAAAACTTTTTAGATTTTTTTGTGAATTTTTCTCTATATAACCTCAGAGTTCAAGTAGTAATATTTTGATTAAAATATAAAAAGCAGAAGTTAGTGATAGAAGAGTGAAAATTTAGGGTTGTATGTATTTTTTAATTCCACATAATTAAAAAAAAATTAGCCAAAAAATAAAAATATTTTTTTTGGGGTTTGGACACCCCTTATAACTTAGGGTTTGATAATATAAATATGATAGTAGTCGATTCTCCGACTTACTAAATATGCATAAAAAAAATTATAAGAATCGGCCGAGACGTTTCGGAGGAGTATGGGAACGAATATTGTGACACGAGAATTTTATATATATAAGGATTTGAGATGATAAGTATAAATATGTTTTTATTTTTATATAAATATGTTTTTCTTTTTGTATAAAAATGTTTTTATTTTTGTATAAATATGTTTTTATTTTTGTATAAATATGTAAAAATTGTTAACTGTGCTTGATGCGTGATTGAGCCAAAAAAGGAATACACATTTTAACATAAAGTTAAAATGTGTATTCCTTTTTTTGGCTTTTGTGTTTAATGTAATTGATTGGATATTCTTTAATGAGTAGCTGTAGGAATACTGATGAGCACATAAATAAAAAAAAGTGTTAATCTTTCTCGCAATGACTTGCATTTTCGGTAAAAAGCCGGTACGATTTCCCCCAAAAAATCTTGGGGTTAGTGCCCTCCATTCTGCCAGTCACGATAAGTATTTCTAAACTTTCTGGATCCCACAAGTTTAAAAAAAAACTTTTTTAAGGATTCGCAATCATATTACATGTTTTATACGTGACCAGCAAGGGACAAAGCAGTTTCTGTCAGACGAAGCAGTTTATGCTAATATAAGGCCATATCATATGACCAAGGTATAAAACCGTTTACAATTTGGTAACTGAATTATCAATTACACTGAGCTGGTATTCGCCTGATACAAGCTAAATAGCTTAGCGTCTATGAACTTTAGTAATAATAGTGCTTTGTGTCAAGCTGAAGCTTGCATTTAACAATAATAAATACGTAGAAGGAAAGAGTAGAATAAAATCAACCTCAAAGCAAAGTCGATTTCGTGGACATAAGTTAGTTTTCATATTATTATGTATTGCTTTTTCTCATACGATTTCGTTCATCGAAGCGATGGTCTATCTATTATCGATGACGGGACGCAGCGTTTTTCCTAGAGAAATCAGTTTGAATAATAAGTGTTGACTTGAACTGCCTTCTGACATTGCAGGTATAGGCTACGGCTAGCATATAGACTTCGAATACTTGAATATACCATAAAAATTCTGTCTATTATCTGTTGTATCTTATAAAATCCAAAGCGTGTAAGAGATCTTTCACAGACAAGAATGTGCAATCTGCTGCAGGGCCGGAACAATCTGGAAAATTCTACGCTCACCCGATTATAGGAAGGGTATTCTGCTATTATTATCTTAAGTTTCTTTCACTATATTTTGTAGTTTTTTTATATGTATCATTGTAAACTTGTTAATTAAATGCATTATTTTATTATAAGCATATTTGTACATCTGGCTCAAAGCAAACAGGTTGTAGTTTGTGTAGCTTGTTTCTATTCTTTTCTTTTTGTTTTGTGTGGGCTTGTTGGTTTACATAGATAAATAATTAAATAGAAAGAAGGTATATTCCATAATATAACAATTCATTTATTTTTAAAACAGAGTATGTTCTGGCATTTAAAAAACACTTAAGATTCAGAGGTTAAGAATGTAAGTCAAGATACGGACGCCTCGTTTGATTGCATCTCTAGTTTGTCTAAACAGTTTCGTATTTCTGATTCCTCGCGACGTTTCAAGTAATGTACGAGAGCCAAGGCACGAGTTAGGTCACTGAGATGTGAAATTTTGTTAAGACCAAACTTTTGAAAAAAAACCTTTGGCACTACAACCTCTTTAGGTCTGGGCCTCAGATTTCTGTATCTGTTTCATGATCATTTTTCAATCTTATAAGCAAATAGGTAATCAGCCTCCAGTGCCTGACACGTCGTCGACTTTTTAGGTCTAATGCAAGCCGGCTTCCTCAGGATGTTTCCCTTCACCGATCGGGCGAATATTAAATGCGCATATAGAAAGAAAGTATATTGGTGCACAGCAGGGGATCGAACCTACGACCTCAGGGAGGAGAGTCACACGCTGAAGCCACTAGGTCAACACTGCTCAAATTTTTGAAAAAGTAATTTTCAAAACTCTTTTAGTTAGAAATGGAACTTTATCAAGTCGTGAATACATTCGGTGTTGCCCGTAACCAACGTTCGTCCCAATAAGTTACCCAGGTTACTTGAGATTGGCACTTTACAGACGTTTCGAGATTTCGTAGCGCTCCGAGAATTCCGATAATCAGCTTTACTTAAGGGATTGGGTTCGAAATTCAATTGTATCTCGAGTGATTTTAATAATTCATCAACTTTGAGCTAAAGTACATGATATGAATAATATTAATGCGAAAGAAAGACGTGAATTATCAAGGTACAAAAACTAAACGAACTCGATACGATTAATAATAATTAAGCCTCATTTATTCCTTGAAACATTAACAAAATATACACATACTTAAAAAAAATATAAATGTTTTTGATGTGAAACTTCTTTAGGCGCATGAGGGTAAATTTTTAAGGAACCATCACGCAGATGTGCAGCGTTTTTGTCGATGAAAAGGGAGAGAGCGATTGAGACCGCTTGAGAGAGAGGGAGAAGGGCGAAGACCTTATAGAAATTCTATTTTTAAAATTAAAATTTCGTAAAGAGAATTTATGAAATATTAGTACATATTTTTATTTTATGCAAAATAATTTATTGAAATCTCAAATGACAAATTGTAAATTAAAATGCCACGTGTTTTTATTATGGAAGAAATAAAATAAAAAAAATTAATTTATAATTTGAATTAATTTTCGACACTTTTAATATTTTAATGACAATTACATTCCTTAAATTCCTAACATATCTTCCTTTCTCCCTCCCTCTAAGTCTCAGTAATCTATAGACCTCCTCCAATTGGCTCCATCTCCTCTTATCACCTGGCTCCCCTCTCCGTCTTGATCATTTTTCTCCCTTTCTTCTCCACCAACTTTCTTGAGCTCGGCAGCCCACCGTGCAAGCGGGCGACCTCATTCATTTTCCTGGTAGCCTTTCCACTTTGTTACCCTCTTAGATACTATTAATAAAATAACTATAAACACTACTACTTTCCATTTTAACTTCGATATTTAGACAACAGTCATCTTTGTTCTTTCAAAAACGTTCTGTCCGTCCATCTTTTTGTTGTTATCACAACATGACAAGTAGTCAACAGCTGTAGGCTTATAAATAACTAGTAATTTTTATATAATATATAGTAGCTTTCAAAAGAATAGCATACTTCTCTCTTAAATACCAGCAACGAAATCGCTAACATGTGTGTTGTATGGGCTGCTGTATTTTATGGATATTCCGTAAGAGCGTTTGCCATATCATATATTAAAAAAAAATTATATGTTTGTATAAAAAGAAGCTTTA